CTCCCGCCCAACTTGGTGTCGTCTGCTACTTGCATTAGTTAATGCTACTTGCATTACCATAGCCACATGCTTCCACCTGCTCTGTGATGGGGAAAGGCACAACTGCAGAAGTTACACTGCTTGTTTTTTAATCTAGTGGTTGCTATCTTACAGTCTAGAATAACATGCTATAATAAAGGGATTTTTTTTTTTACGTTCATAGCTTTCTTCATGTATTACCTCAAGAATAATACTGTCTACTAATACATGCTCTGAAGAACCTTCTTGTTAGCAACTGCTGCAGCTTGCTCTTCATTCACATGAGGACAGCTTAAAAAATGACCCTATGGAAACCATTCAGTTTAACTGCCCAAAGGGCTGGTGGAAGATGCCAAACAGAACCAACCAAAAGAGATCACAACGGGTTTTAGTTGCACAACAGGTAGGTATTTAAGACTAGTTTCTTGAAAGAGTAGTAAGGAGCCTGTTACACCTGTTACAGGAGAGGGAACAGTGCAGCTCAAAGCACAATCACAAGACTGTTCTCCCTGATCCTGTGTTGCACAGCTTTCTGCCAGCAAAGGACTTGCGAAGTAGCTCCACGTATGCGGGAAGAGAATGGCCACAGCCCTGTAACCTGGCAGTTAAGGGAGCATCAGCCTGCAGAAGTCTCCATGCTGAGGGAAAGCAAAATAACTTCAAACAGCAATCTCTAATTAAGGCAGTAAACCCAATGAACCATACAGAGGTTAATACTCTGCTGGTAAGATCCTTGAAAGAGCGTAACTGGAGATGAACACAATACTTTTCTGTTAAGGTCTCCTGGAAGATTAGTATTTGCTAAAAATACTCTCTCTGGTATATCTGAAGTAGAACAAAGTTTGCTAGCAATTTAAGTGTGGATACTAAAACAACAAAAAAGTAAAACCTGCTACATAACAAACTACTACCAGGAGTAGTTTGGATTTTAAACACACAAGAATATTAAACTTCTATTTGACTGTTTTCCTAGCGACAAGAGGTGTAGAAACTAGTTGTTTGGAAGCTGGATTGCTACTTTGAAAGGTTATGGTGTTTACTGTTCCTTAAATATGCAAACTGAAATGCAACTACTAGGCTACTACCAAATCAAGATGAAATTAAGGTTTAAAAAGTAAACATCAGAAAGAGGATGCCCGAAGAAGATAAAGCTTTCTCTGCAGCAGGCTATAGGAAAAGGCTTAGAGGCTAGCATTGAAGATTTCTCCCTCAGTTTACACACAGCTGAATTAAACTCCTGCTCTTTGCATGTGATAGCAAAGAACCTGGCCAGAGGAAACATTAATAATATTAGAAATATTTGCAAGACTATAAATCAATGATTCATTCTGCTTTATTTTTTGTGCTTCTCAGACAAGATTTTCCAGAAATATTTGCTACATGTTTTTCCCTATTTTTCAAAATCTTGTGAAACATGGGTAGACTGCCGTCTGGTAGGCATACCAGCCTTCCCAGGGCTTCTTTGCATGTAACCCAGACTGTATTTTATCATTACAGAGTTTGAGTTCTAGTTCATAGCTTAACAGTAACTAAGTGATGCACTTTGGTACATGTGGACTGCAGTCAAAAAAACTTTCTCTGTGTAATATTTCTTTCCTGCCTCTCCTTCCCTGTGTCTATCTACTGGGGGGAAAAAACCAAACCAACCATGCAAACAAAACCCCAAACCCTTCATTCAGTTCTGGTACACAGAAGTAGCCCCCAATAGCAGAGCTTGCATTTGGGAGGAGCGATACGAAACCTCTGTTGCTACCAAGACGTTCAACCTCCATTACAGTAGCATATATACTTGCCTAGGGGTAGCTTTCTGGTATGCCCCATACCACTCCCTTACTGCTCTAAGGCAGGGTTACATAATTAAACCTTCTTACCCCTTGCTGAGTTTTACAGGAGCTTGAATCCCTTCATCACACTCCCTTGAAAATCTACAGGCATACTTTTAAGCTGCCATTGGCCCATCACACAAACTACAGAAGGCTTTTGATTAAAATAAGCACATCAAAAGCAAGACAAGGGGGGGGAGGGGGCGAGAAAAAAAAAAGTCCTTTCACCCCAGCATTGATTTAGGCCATTACTGGTGCCTTGGAAGCTTCACTACTCCTAGCAAGTCTATATAGCAAGACAGAGATCACTACTTGAAACAAGTCCTATAATTAGAGACTAAAGTAAAAGACGACTTTTCTCACCCCAGGAAGAAGGTTGGGAGCCTAGTGTATCATATTCTGCCTGCTATGAATAATGAAACCCCAGGGATGTCTCCAGGTTTGTCTGGTGAGGAAGTCAGTACAGATGTGAAATCATGTACTCTTTCACAAATATTACTAGGTTCCTCGGGATGGGTGGCTATGTGCCTGACATCAGGACTGCCCCTAAAGGAAAGTTTAAGCAGCAATGGGTTAATGCTGTCCAAGCATGTGTCAGACTTTTTAAAGCTACTGGCAAAGAGTAAAGTGCTTGTACTAGAACAAACAACATAGCTTAGAATGGTCAAATCAATGCAGAGCTCTGGCGCAAATTTATCTTCTGACACAGCCAGAAAATCATTTAAGGGTATAATTAAAGGCAATAATTTTTACAGTTCTCTTTGGTTAAGGCAAGGGCTGGCAGCTTCCCAATTCCTCTCGGCTCAGAAGTTTGTGTTAAAATATCAGCTGCCGTGTTCAAAGCAACCTGTGCTACCAACAGCAACAATGATCTTTGAAGATACTTACAAGCCAAACTGCAAGGTAGAGATATCAAGAGAGAGATGGCTTGAGGCCACATAGCACACTTTCATCAATTGAATAAAATGAAATCAAACAGCCTCAGAAGAATGACGACTTCCAAGTTCTTCCTGAAATCTCTCTTCAACAGAGGCACTGGGTCTTCTCCACACTTGGACTGGCAATCACTGGCCTGGAATCAAGATAGATGCTGTTTGGAGGGTTCTCTCCATGAAGCTGTAAGGTATTTCGGGCTATCAGCTCCTTAGCCATTAACGTGAACACCTCTTCTATGTTTTGAGCTTCTTTTGCTGATGTCTCCAGTACAGCTAAGAGCCCGTGCTTCTCCGCCAGTGTGCAGGCATCTTCAAACAAGACTTGGCGCTTATCCAGTGAATCTGATTTGTTCCCTTAAAAGAAGGCAAATAGATAATTCAATCATTTATTGTCTCAAAAATTCATTTTTAAATGCAATACATTAATTCAGTTTTGTTAAACAATAGATTTATATTAGGAATAAGAGTTACTGGAAAAAACAAGATGTGAGCACATCAGAGCCACAAACGTAGAACGTGGATCAAAACTGCAGCTAATTATATGATGATATCAAATGAGTTAAAATCCAACCAAAAACTAAAAACCTGTGTTCATCTAATGACTTGCTGTAGGTAGTGGTGCCAGAGGATTATTTGGAAGCAACTATTCCCTAGTGCTTTTAAACATTAAGTAGCATTTGAGTTAAATATTTAAAAAAAAAAGAATAGAAATCTTGTCGCTATAGTGATTGCACACAGTAAACCAGAGTAACGTTGCATAAACATTTATTCATCACTCAACCTTCAGTGGAAGCCGCATGTGTTACGTTATTGTCAAGCTACCTTGACACATCTCAAAGTGGATGCTCAGCTCTGAAGATCTGGAATGTTGTTAGTCTAAGGCAGATCTCCTCCAAAAAAAACCCCTAAAACCCAGGAAGAGCCTGCTCAACTGTTAACCAGATTTTAACATGACCTATTTATGTAAGTCAATCATGATGTCAAAAAAGACAAGAATTCACACCAGCTACCTTAATGCTTAAAATGTATACTTAAGAAGTTTCTGCATGTATAGATTAAGCTTTTACTTGAAGCAGTTTAATAAAAATCTGTCAGAAGTCATGAAACACCTCAGATAAAATACCTTTGTATATTTAAGTAGTTGCAGCACACGTGGAATTTCCATCAGTTCTGGTACATGCAGTACCTGGCTGAAGCCTACATTCATAGTTTCATCAAATTCAGATCTTGAATTTGAAGCATATATAAGTCAACTTCCCTCCCATTAAGTCCCTTTCAGTTTTTCTAAAGGGAAAACAAAAACCCACCCTACAAAAGAAAACCACAACCTCCCCAAAAGACACCTCGCTTGAGGGTTATTATTTGCCTTCTTAAAAAGAGCCCCCCCTCTTTCCTCCTTCAGTTCCAGATGGGAAAGTTAAACTTCTTAACCTTAACTTCATGCTAGAAAGTCATGTATAACATGACTACGTGCAATTAAATGTACAAAGACTTCCTGCCAAAGTAAGGCAAACAGCACCAGCTTCGGAAGAAAGCACCAAGCTGGATCCTTGACCAAAGCTTTATTTTTACCAATTTCAGAACTTCTTTCTTATGAAGAACAACAACAACAACAACAACTACCACCAGCCCCCACCACACACACAGATAGGTCTTGTTCTTTAGATTCCTGAGAAAAGCTAGAAAAACCCTACCAAGGTTTAGTGATTTTCACCTCCCTTACTCATTCCAAGCACTGCAGTTACATGCAGGTCAGAATTTGCTGTTTGTTTCTTCAGAGGAAGAACAGGAAGAACCACCACAGCAGAAGTAACTTGCTAGGAGCAGAAGCTTAGGTCCCATGCCTGCTGCACTGTGGGGCTCAACGCTGCCTATCCTCAAGGGCCAGTTTGGGCTGCTGCGGCTGCATGCATCGCTCTTGGCACAGTGCCACAGTGGAACAGGAAGAAGCAGTGGAATGTAAATAAAAGCTCTGTCATTTTACTACACCAGTTCTCTTATTTGCAGCTTCTTCCTTGGGGGAGGGAAGAGCAATAATAACCTGAAACACAAAGGGAAAAGACCACACTGCTTCCTACCAGTTCCATTCTCAGAAATTTCTACCCATTCCTTTCCTCAAGAGGCAAAGTTTCTTGAACGCTAGTAGAATAAATGAGGAGGAAGAGGAGGAATGCAAGCAGACTACTTCGTGCTCTGTAAATGCCATGTCCCCATCTACTGTCTTACCTGATCGGAGTCCCATTACAGAGCAATGCACATGCATATCAAAAGAACAGAGAGGAAAGATGAGAACGAGGAGTTGTGTTGCTCTGTGCATTCCCCTTCGTCTTGAATTACTGAGCCGTTAAATTCCTGTGCATCAGGAGTATAGGGTCAGACTTACTGCAATTCTAACCTCAATAAGGTTGTCCCTGCTTGCTAGACTAGCAGCGAGTTTGTTGCATTATTCCAGCAGGAAGGAACAAGTAAAAAGGTATCATTGTCTGCAATGGGCTTGATCCTGTCAGGACCAGGCTGTGACTTTCCTAATTTTTTAAGCTCAGGTCAAATTGATACAATTTCTGATCTATTTTAATTACAGCTGCATTCTTCTTTAATGCATAGTTTATAGATGCTTTAAGTAGCGGGGGGAAAGTGAAGGGGGCTTTATACATGTATTAAAAAAAGCTATACAACATAATATTTAAAATTAGATTCCTACCAATTAACATAATGACCAAGTTTGCAGCACCATACTTTTCAATTTCGTGAATCCAGTGAGGAATTGATTCAAATGTGGACCTCCTAGTAAGGTCATAGGCAAGGATGGCCCCATGGGCACTCCTGTAATAAGACTGGGTTATTGTCCGGAAGCGTTCTTGACCAGCTGTGTCCCACACTTGGATCTGTTAAGAGAAAGGATAGAAGTTGTAAAGACCGGCGAATGCCACTTCCTAGGTGTTTGCCATCAGCATCTATGCTTTTGAAACCCCTTGTCTAGAAGGCAGCTAGACCTGTCCCAGCTCACTCTACTACACCCATAGCGTGGCTTTGCCCTCTCTAGATCTGGAGAGACATTTACATGCCTGTAAAGACAATCTACACAGACCAAAGAGAAAGCTGCAAGGGTAAACCCAGCTTCACAAAGAGGCCAAGAAACCCAGTTTCAACAACTGTGCTACAAGATATAAAGCATGACAGCCTTTTAATAGGAAAGGAGGAAGAGCCAAGAAGCCCTGATGCAGGGCTGGGCAAAGGAAAGCTATATAAAGGGCAGGCACCTGAACTTTCATCTGCGCATGGAGGTAAGTTCTAGCTAACAGCTTCTTCTGGTGTTCATCTTGCAAGTCTTCATCTTCCTTCAGATCAAGCATACATCAAAGTGGAGCCTTTGCAAACTAGAGGGTTTTCCCTCCTCAGTGTCCCAGCTCAACGCCCCCATATCTCTGAAGGAGGGAAGAGACCTCCCCTCCAAACCAGAGCCAGCTTTCAAAGAACTCCCTGCAGGCAAAGTGTGAGCCCTCTCCACAGGGAGATCCAGGGAAGCCACGAGTGCAAGCACGTACCCAAATGAGGATGACTGTGTCCCCGAGAGCACCCTCCTGCGGGAAAGCTCCCCTCGGCAACACCCCTGGTCAGAAAGGGGACGAGCAGGGGACGCCGTGGGGGATGGTGACAGGGTCATGGGGAAGCAGGTGCCGCCCACCGAGCAGCTTGGGCTCGCTCCGGCCACTGACCTTCACTTTCTTGCCGTCGATGTCCATCGAGCGGACAGTGAAGTCGACGCCGATGGTGTTCTGCTGCCTCTCGTTGTACTGCCCCGTCTTGAAGCGGTGCACCACGCAGGTCTTCCCCACGTTGGAGTCCCCGATCAGGATGATCTTGAAGAGGTAGTCGAAGGCATCGTCCGCGCCGGAGCTGGAGAAAGGCATTGCGGCTCCCGGGCGGGCCTGCGGCGGGGGAGCGCGGCAGTGAGGGGGAGTCGCCGCCCTGGCCCGGC